TCCCCTCCAGTTTCTTTCCTTTTCCTGTGTTTTATCACGTTGTTAAACGTCTCTTTGGAGACTCCCAAGCCTTGCACCTCCCTCCCTTGTGCCATCCCAGCTGCAGGGAGCAGGGACTGCTCTGCTCACGTGAATGTCCTCCAGATCCCACCTGGGATCCCAGTTTGGTTGTTGAGCAAATGCTGCTGCATTCTTCCAGCTTTTAGTCTGTCTCTCTGCCATCAACAGGCTGCTCAGGAAAGTGGAGTCCCCATCCCTGGTGGGATTTAACGTGGTGTAGATTTGGCACTTAAGGGACATGGTATAGTGTTGGGCTTGGAAGTGCTGAGTTAAAGGTGTGACTCGATCTTGGAGGTCTTTTCCAACCTAAATGATTCTGTTTTTCCTTTAACAAAGCCCCTTTGGTGGGAGTCAGGAGCACATGTGGCCTTCAAGCCTGCCATCATCTCTGCTGAGGCTGAGAGGGGACTGTTTCCAACCCAACCCCGAGGTGCTCGAGTAGGTGGCTCTTTTCTGGTGAATTTGCATTGGAAATGGCTGCTGTCTAGTCAGTGCAGGTGCCAAGGGTGCCCAGTCATACGGGGACCGCAGGGAGGGGTGGTGGCTAACGCGGGGGCGTGGGGAGGAGTGAGGTGCTGAGCTGCCCTGCACCCTCCCCTGGGCTCCCCTCCCACCCCCAGAGCTGGAGTTTCCATCTACAGAAACATCTGACCTGCCCTTCCTGCCCTGGGGTGCAGCAGCAGAGCTTTGGGATGCCCAGCTGCTGTGGGATGGCTGGGCATGTCCCCGCTAAGCTCCTGGTGTGCAAAGTGGATTTATTCCAAGTGCTGGAGTATCTGGAGTAATCTCAAACACCCAACTACCCCTTTTTTGTTCTCCACTGAAGGCATCTCCATTTCTGAGTTTGCAGGACAAGTTTGAGTGGCATGAAAACTCGGCAGCAAGACCCTTTGTGTGTCTCTAAACTTACTGAATCCAGTAAAAGAAATAGGATCATAAAAACCCTCTTTAAAAAAGGACATCCCAGAAGCTGCTGAGAAGCTCCCAGTGCATCCCAGGCATTGGGGTTGTTGGCCTCCCCGTGTGCAGGAGGAGGGTGACTGTGGGCTCCCAGTGGGACCAGTGGCTGAGAGCAGTTTTTAACAGTTTATTCACTTCATGACATTGCAGAGTGGTTAAAAATAAGTGAATCTGTTCTGAAACTGAGTGAGTGCAGGTGATGGGCCCCTTCTGCCTCCACTGCTGCCTCTCTCTAATGCTGGTTCTTTAAAACCCTCCGAGGATTGGGTCAGAACTGACCACACTTTTCTCATCTCTTGTCAGCCTTCAAGGTATTTTGTTTAACCAGATGGGTTTCTTGCTGCTCCCACTGCTTCCTTGCTCTGGCTTGGATAACTTCCCTCTCTGAGCTTTGCAGTGCCCAGGATGCTCTGCCTGTGCCAAGGACTTGTGCCATGGCTGCTTTTGGAGCCTGGCTGGCGGTGCAGTGGGAGGTGCTGGTATCCATGGAAGTTGCCATAGTCTCGGGTCTGTTTCTATGAGCATCGTGATTGCTGGTGGTGTCAGTCCCCAGAAGCCATGGCTGGTGGGTTCCAAGGCTGTTTTGGATGTGGAGGAGGGTTATGGCAGGGCTGGGATGTCCCTTGCACCGAGGGATCCTGCCTCAGATCCTGCCTCAGTGACACTCTCGCTCGAAGTGTATAAATGACACCATTGATTTTTGGGCCTGACAGGTGCTGAATGAGCCCCATGGAGAACATTGATTTCTCTCTCTCTCTTTTTTTCCTGCAAGATGTCTACTTGTCCAAAGGTGTGATTGACTGGTGAATAAAATGGCCTGGGCACAGCCCATATTAAATTGTAGCTAATTTTAACATGTGGCCGTTGAGTAACAGTATCGAGCCAAGAATTCGTGATCCTCCATCAACAGCAAACTGACCTCGAAATGCCAAAAAAAAAAAAAAAAGGTGCAATATAACACTTTGCAGATTGGTGAGAGAGAAATAGTGCAAGAAATTGTGCCACCAACACCCACGCTGAGTGTACCCACCTGAACTTTGGGTGGGGTTGAAACCCACCTGCAGTTGTCATTCTGAGTGGAGGCTTTTGTTGTGATCAGTGTGGTGGCCTTGCTCTGTTGCCAGCTCCTTGCTCGTGGAGGGGGACTGTGGTTTCTTGCCTTGGTTTATTGTGTTTTACATCAGGCCTTTTTCAGCAACTCTTTAGATTATGGTTCCTTCCTCGATGCTCGTCCTCTGCCCACACTCAGCGCCTGGCTGGCTGTGTGGTGGCTCTTGGATGTCACCTGGAGCTGCAGGAGGGCACTGGTGCTGCAGCAGGCACACTGTACTCATTTAGCAGCTGGTGATGAGGTGGTTCTAGAGCTGAATTGGATGAGCAAAATCAGCTTTGGCCTTCAGTTGTTTCACCAGCACAGGTTGCCCAGAGAAGCTGTGGCTGCCCCATCTCTGGAAGTGTTCAAGGCCAGGTTGGATGCGGCTTGGAGCAACCTGGGCTAGAGGAAGGTGTCCTTGCCTATGGCAGGGGGGTGGAACTGGATGATCCTTAATGTCCCTTCCAACCCAAACCATCCTGTCATTCCACAAGTCTGTGTTTTGGTGCTGCCCAGCCTGGGATGAGCGGGAGATGAGGAGGGAATGCTGCAGAAGGGCAGGGCGGTTCTGCAAAGGAAGTTTGCGTCTTGCCGTGTGTAATTGTGGCTATAACCTGTGTCATTAACTTTCAAAATTGGAGGCTTAAAAGGATTTAAAATAAACACATGCCTAGAAATTTGAAATCAATGAGACTGCAGTGCAGCAGCACACACGGCCCTGCCGCAAGCAGCCGGTTTGCCTGGGGTGTAAATTCTTGCAGAGACCCAGAAGATAAAGTTATGAAATAACCCACGTCAGCAGGAGAGGTTGTAAAGCAATTCCGAAAAAAACCTCTGTCTAGACACTTATATTTACTGCAGTGTTTATGTGAGATAGAGGAATGCCCTAGAAAACCAGATTTGTTTTCAATTTCTGCCTCTGGCACGTGCTTGTCTAATGAGAAAGCTCTGATGTGATGGGACTGTCCTGTGCCACCCCCTGTGCTGGGGGAGCTTTACTGTCACTCAGCGGCCCCATGTGAGGGGCTGGCGTGGGGGAGAAGGGTAAAAGGTTATTCCTTTCTTTGTGTAGGTGAATCAGCCTGTTGTTAATGAGGTGGTCTTGCTAATCCACCTCTGGAAAACCCATCTCTAATCCCAAATGCGGTGATAACAAGCTGCACTCTGGTCGTGTCTGTGGAGATACGATGGCCCCAAAGACTCTGCTTTGATTCGTTTAATTAAAAGAAAATTAAGCTGTTTTTATTTTGCTTTGAACTCTGGGTGAAGTTTGCGAGCAGTGTCTTTGTGGCGTGTATTTGATGACAGCTTGGGGAGCAGAGATGGTGCCATGTGACAAAACCAGGCTGGGTGAACCCACCCAAAGGCAGCTTATCACGTGGGGGTGATTCACCCCTTTAATGGATTGATTTACTTGGGATTCTCACATGTTTGTTAGGTGTTTGTGAGGAATTTGCTGAGGGGAAAAAAAAGAGTTGCTTCAAAATACGGCAATGAATTGAAGGTATTTTGTAACGAGGCTCCAGAAAGAAGGGAAGTTAATTGGCTGGCTCAGCAGTCAGCCCATCCTGATGAAGGATGGAGGTGATGCAGCTGCAGAAATGAAGCAGATTTTTATTATTTTCCTCTTAGCCCCTGCTGCCAGGCAGCACCACTGGAGCGAGACTGGAGTCCCCAGACCTCAGAATCCCTGATGCTCCCAAATAAACAACCAATTATTGCTGTAGTCAAAGACAGGATTTTCTTGAAAGAGAAGGATAACGTTGCTCTGCCAGTTGACCTCCCTGAATAATCAAGGGTGGTCCCTGGAGGGCTGAGGCTTCTGCTTCTTCAAATGGGCCAAGGTTAAAGATGAGCAAAGCTTTGTGGAAACAGTCTCTGGTCTTGGGGACAGGATCTGGGTTGGGTCAGGAGCCTCAGGACTGGCATGGGCTGGATGTGGCTGGTTTGTGTTTTTGTCAGTCTGTTGGTGTTTATGGTGCCTTCAGCATCTGGGAGGTGTGAGGGTCAGGGAGCAAATGGTACTCGAATAAATTGTCAGTCGTTTCATACCCCAGAGCAAAAAACCAAATTTTCAATGTCCCAGTCTTTTTTAGGGATGTGTGTGTGCATGTGTGTGGATGTACAGCACTACACACAAGGAGTCTTGGAATCAGGGAATGGTTGGAGTTGGAAGGGACCTTATAGATCATCCAGTTCCAGCCCCTGCTATGGGCAGGGACCCTTCCCCACTAGACCAGGTCCAACCTGGCCTTGAAACACTTCCAGGGATGGGGCAGCCACAGCTTCTCTGGGCAACCTGTGCCAGAGCCTCACCCTCACAGGGCAGATTTTCTTCCCAATATCCTATCCAACCCTGCCACCTGGCAGTGTGAAGCCATTCCCCCTTGTCCAAAGTCCCTCTCCGGCCCCTTTAGGAACTGGAAGGGGCTCTTAAGGTCTCCTCAGAGCCTTCTCTTCTCCAGGCTGTAACATGTGCCCCTTCTGTAGGGAACCACATGTAATCATGCTGGAAGTGGTTAAAAGTTCAACACTGGCCTTCTGTAGATCATCAACTGTAATTTATATTTTTCTTCAGCCTTTAAAGGGAAGTGTCCTGGCTTGAGTTCTCCAGCCCTTCTGCGCTGTTACCTTGTGAGAAATTTGTTTTTCAAAAGGGTGTTTTGTTTCTGCTGTGCAGCTGAGAACACAGGAGCCCTCACAGGGCACCCTGAGTCTGACATCTTCAGCAACAACAAATAAACTTGTGCCTGGCTTTCCAGTGCAAGTTTCTAAGTCCCTGTTAACTTGTCTTGCACGTGAATTTAACTCAGTAAATCTCAGTTGCAATTTGTGCCTGTGTCCTGCTCACGTTTTCCCTCCCCCTTTTCTCTTTTGTTCTCCCCAGTTTCTCTGTTTGAAGAACATCCGAACCTTCCTGAAGGTGTGTCACGACAAATTTGGGTTAAGGAACAGCGATTTGTTTGATCCCTTCGACCTCTTCGATGTGCGGGATTTCGGGAAGGTAAGAGTTAATCCTGAGCTCCTGGGAAGTCATGCTTCTGGCACTGCTGGTCCTCTGGGCCTGTGCTGCTGCTTTTGGGTGAAAATATGAAGGTTTTGTGGTTTTCTGAGAAGCTTCTGCACCCTTAACCCAAGGATTGAGCACCTGTTCCCCCTGCTCGTGGTATATTTAGGGGTGGATTGTGCTGTGTCCTCAGTGAAGGGAGATCAAGCCTTCAAGCTTTCTGCTTTAGATTACAATGTCTCTGGGATCAGACTCTGAAGTACATGAAAAATGTCTTTTTTTGGGGAGGAGGAATTAGACCTTTCACAAGGTCCAGACCTCTCACAGTCCTTCCCCAGCTGCTGCCACCTCTGCAAAGCAAAATAGCTTTGCTGAAGTCACCATCAGTTTTGTCATGTGGCCAGTGAGTGTCTGTGGGGGTCAGGGAGTTTGATGCCGGGGTGAAATGAGTGCCCTGAGTTTCTCAAAAATGTGTTTTGCTGTAAGTGATGGCTGGCACCAAATTCTGAACAAGACCCAGCTGCAAGGGAGGAAAGCTCTGCCTGATTTTTGACAAGTGGCTCTTGTTCTGATTCCCTGGTTTTGACACCAACTGCATCAGGGCTGATGGATACTGGGCTCAGGGAAGCTATTACACAGGACAATTGCTATATTCTTCAGCAGAAAAGGTGTTAAAAGATTTATTAAAGCTCTCTATTGTTTTACCTGTTTCGAGTTACCAGGCATAAGCTGCTGGAAGGCATCTTCCCTTCTGATTATCCAAAGAGCAGATTTTCACTGCTGATGGGGATATATTATTTGATATTTATTGCCTAATTTATTTCTGGACCATTATCTGGAATGTGCAATTGCAGGGCCTTGTTTTATGAGTTTTTTTGATTTATGAAATACAAGAAGGCTTTTGTTGTTCTGGGAATATGAATGCACAGAAGGAACCTTTTGGGCCAGGGAAAGGACTGCTGCTAATTAAAATGCTGCTTTATTGTCACATTGTCTCTTGCTTTGTGCTGTTTCAAATTGCCTGTGATGCCTGTTAATAGAGCCTGGTGTTAAACACTGCTGGAACATGTCAGCTGATGAGCACAGTTTGGTTTCCTTTCTGCTGTGGTTAGGGAACAGCTATTCCCTCCTCCTGTTCGCTTTTTTGTGGGGAAGGTTCAGGTTTGTTACTTGGGAAAGGGAGGTGATTTGCCATTCCCTCTCACCTCATGACAATTTAGGTTTTTTTATGAGACTTAGGAAAGAAACGTGTCATAAACTTCTGAGAAATCCAAATGTACTTTATTGCCTGGATCTTGCTTATTTTCATGTGCATCATCCTTAGTCAACTGTATAAAATGTGGGAAGCACAGACTTTGTATAAAAAAACTCTTTTTTTTTAATCAGTTTGGTGGAGGTATCAGCTGTTCGGGTCTGCACCACCCTAAATCCCTCTGGAAGCCTGTCAAAACATTCCCATTGTCTTTGCCACCTTTCATTCCCACATTATCCTCAGATCTGCGTTCAACAGTGGCAAAGCAAATAAACAGGGAAAAATCTGCTGTTGACCCAAGCTCCTTTCAATTTTGAGTCACAGCGAGAGCAGAGGGAGTCTCTAATCCACGTTCCCACTGGCCAAACACAGACTTCACACACAAAAAATTCTTCCTGGAGCTATGAATTCCTTAGACCAACAGTGTTTTTGGGTTACAAGACACTTACACCGTGTAGGAGACGTTTCTGAGCAGCGCCCAGTAACAGTCGAGCGTTTAATTGCAGAGAAGCCTTGGTTGGAGTGGTGTTGGGTGTTTCCTTTCTGGATGCCACTGAAATAGTTATTTTCCCTCCTCCAAACCCAAGGGGCAGTGGGACAGCAATTACTAGCAGTTTTTGGGTTTGGTGCAGTGTAATTACTGAGTAGGAGGGCGGGGACTTGCGTTTCTGTGGTGCCAACCTCTTACATCAAGGGCTTGTCCTTTGGAATCTTCGGGGTTTCTTGGTGTAAGAAAACCACTGGTGCTTTAGAAGAGAAAGAAAAATCAGATCCCTCAGTCTTGCCTTGACCAGCTGAGTGATCTGAGTATTCTGAGTAAGCCACCATTCCATTTGGCTTCTGAGGTGGGGCTTCAGCAAGGAGGAGCTGCCGTAGGTTTGATGGGGAGAGCAAGTGTGTTTTGGGGCTGCTCGAGTCCAGGAGCGTGAGGTTTTATCTCTGGTTTTGCTACTTCCTGGAGTTTTAAGCCTGGGAAGTTATTCCTTAACTGTCACCAGGATAACAGCTGGTGAAATGGGATGGTGAACCATGTGGGCTTGTCCAGCCAAAATCCCCGTGGAGCTGAAGAGCTCCATCTCTGCCTTGGTGGGACGTTGGGTAACTGGAGCGCGCAGGCTTTTTCCAAAAACACACGTCATGTTCCATGTAATCTCATCTGCAGTGTTTCCCAGTTACCCAGGGGGGTCAAAAGGCCAGTTTAAATTGCTCACAGCCCTTTTTTTCCCAGTGTCCAGTTAATTAAGCAATCCTGGTGTGACAAGGGCCATGCTGTGCTTCATGACAGAGGTTTCCGAAAGCGACCTGAGGTGCTGATGCTTGTGTTTCTATCTGTGCCCCTTTAAGACACCTTAAAAGAATAGAGTTATATTGTTTTCTACCAGTTGACTCTTAATTTATTTTTTTTTTTTAATTTGATCACTTTAAAGTGGCTCAGAGCTCTCCATAATCACCAGTGGCACTTGCAGAAGTGTTTCTCCACGGCTGTGTCCCTGCTGCAGGCTGCAGAAGCAGCACAGTGTGCAGTGCTCTGAGGAATAAACTCCCTGTTTTTATTGCCTCACCCCTAAATAGGGTCTGATCTTGCAGGAACAAGCACTGGGATCCCCTGCAGGGTTACTGTACCCAGTCTCTGCTAGTACAGCCTGTCTCCTGAAAAAAAGAAATGAAATAAAATGAAAAGCTAGTGCTCATGTACAGTGTGTTTTTGCACATTTAATAGCAGTGATGGTATAAAATCAAACTCTTATTGGACTTGCTAATTTATTGGCACCAACTGTAATGACATAAAATGTACATAAATATGGATTAAACTCTTTATTACTCTATTAGTCAGCATGATGATACCAAGGTTCATTAAAGGGAGTTACTCATTTTAAATAACTTGCAGTAATGTACTATTTTTTTTTTTTAAGAAATATAGTTCAAATATTCATAAACCTGTGGAGCGTGTCATTTATTAGCCTCCCGCTCCTCTCTGCTCTCCTGACGTGGATTTAATTGTCCTGAATTCCTGTTGAAGTTCTTGCACTGTTTGAAAAAGCCTTTTTTATTTTTTTTTTTTTTTTTTTGCAAGATAAAGGTCTTCCCTCCCCTGACTCTGAGTATGAAGTGCTGCTGTTCTAAAAATGAAAAAGGGAAGTGGCTCACTGGTCAGCTGAAAGATTGAGGAGATGCTGAGGTTAAAGTAGTGTTTTCCATTCTGGTTCTGGTCCAGAGCCTGGGCAGAGCTGCTCCCACCTCGGAGCTTGAGCAGAGCACAGGAGGGGCATCTGGATCAATCCTCCCTCTCAGCTGAACCCTCTGAGGTTTGCTGGCGTGTGACTCGTGGGTGGCTGGTGCAGGGCTCGTTCGTGGCTTATCTTGTGTGTCTGAAGTGCCTGGGAGGAGATGTGGATGGTGGGGAGGGTGGCCTTGAACCTGGCACGCTCCAGCAGCTGTGCCAAGAGCTGCCTCGTAGGTGGGAGTTAAATGAGAGTTAAAGTGATGGTGCCCTTGATAAATTCAGAGTAATTACTCCATATATTCAGAGTATTTTTTAGTGTAAAGGTGTCCCCTTCCTCCTGCCAGTGAGCTGGTGTGGATCACTCTTGGAAAGCCCTGGGGGGATCCAGGCTGTCCTCACTGGATGCTGTTGCAGATTTGTCCCCTGATTCGTCACCAGCACCATGGCTGGTGAATCTCCAAAGTGAGATGTCCCCTGTCACCAGCCATGGGGACAGAGTGGTAGAGCCACTGCTACATCCTCCTGTCCCTCTCTGACACACCCACCCACACCCCACCCTCTTGCCAGAGCATCAGAAAACTCTGTTTCCTGCTTGGTTTCAGACAGGAGGGTGGGGAGCATTGTCAGAATTATTTAAGGGATTAATAACCGAGAGTTGGTGGTTTGTGTTTCTCTCTGTTTCTCTGCTGAGAATTCCCCTCCCTCCATCATCTCTAATGTCATGTACAAGTCACTATCCCTGCAGCAGTCTTTTTAAGGGTGCTTTTTTAACCCAGTTTGAGCAGTGAAAGGGGGAGACTTATATGAATTAATATAGGTAGTTGAAAATGGCAAAGCTTTCAGGTGAATGGCTGGTGTAACACAGCGAGCCCAGTGCCAGCCCAACCTGCTGGCAGTGGGAGCAGCTCCCTTCTCCCATTTTGACTTTTCAGGGGTTTTTCTGACCTCTCGGAGCCAAGGGCATATTAAAAGCAGTGTGGATTTTTTATCCACCACTGAGTTCATGAAGCAACAGTGCCTGGGAGAGGACAGGAGCGCTTGGCAGCTGAGCTTGATGTCCCATCCCAGCTCTGCTGTGCCGTGGCCAGCGACTATCCCTTTTTTTACAGTCTCCAGAGGCCCAGGCAGCTGGACAGAGCTGCCCATGTTGTGGCCCGCTGTGCCAGCTCCTCAGCTGTCTGCTCTGTGGCACTGGATGTGTGCTGAGAGGGATCCCATGGCAGCTGAGAACGGCTCTAATTGCCATATCACTGGCACAGGGCGGGTGGGGAGGGAAGTGAGAGGAATTCTCCAAAAGAAGGGTGTGTGTATTTTATTTATTTATTTTAATTCCTGAGGGAGCAGTAGAGTAACTGGCCTGCAAAGAGATTTATGTGTGTTACTGTGTAGAAGAAACCCACTTAACCCCTTGCCTTCCCTGGCCTTGCCACGGCTGAAAATTCACGTACAACATAGTACCCCAGTGCTGCCCACAGGGTTTTTCCCAGAGCCCTTGGGTGCTGCAGTCCTTCCCAGCTCCAG